CCAGCATAAACCAGCAAAGGACCAGCTTAAACCAGCATCCCAGCTTCAAAACATACCTAACCAGCATATGCTGGTTTTTTCAACAGGGTTTCTAAGATCAAAAAGTGTAAATAAAATAAACATACCCAAGGTGCTTCAACTTTAAACTTTATTTTTCAGAAAAATGAACCCAAAAATGTTAAAATAAAATGCAAACATTCTGAAAAATTTCTACACAACAATTTCACAGAAATTACCTTGTAATGCAGATCCCTGTATTAGGCGTAATGTATTAGTGTCCTGTCTACGTTTTGTTTTAAATAGGCAGCCAGAAAATACATCGAACCAGGAGAAGAAATAGAAGAAAGAAACATTTCACTTTAGGCTACTCTTTTAAAAAGGTGAAGTTTTACGCATAAGTTGGACTTTATAAGTCTCGGTATTTCTGATATGAAATAAAAACACGTCAAAGTTTTATGCCAGCTTGTAAACATGGTCGTTTGTATGTTGCAGATGCTTGTAAGTTACATAATGATACATCATTTCATACACTCAAGCTGCCCGTGTCAGTGTAAAACATTGTTTTCATCAAATATATGTAGCCAAACAAAATGCCGTCAAATATCCCTGAAAATCATTTCGACTCATCTAGTTTGTAAAAATCGCATTTACAGTAACTCACTTACAATGGAAGTATATGGTGCAAGATATACCAGACTATGCAATAGCTGAAACTACAGCTATATTTTGTTTTTAAACGATTTTCGCAGAAAAATAGGTGTTATTTGAGCTGTAAAGCGGTCTAAACAACACTTTATCTATGGGACTACAGTTTAAGGTGGATGAATACCAACAAAGGTGGATTTTCTTTATGTAAACAGTAGTTCACTAATAGTTACATCACGTTCGTTTCCGGTATCTTTTGCGTAACTTGCCATCTTTACCGTCTTTATGTGGTTCTTACAGCACTTGAAATAATTTATTCTACCACATTTGTCTCATGTTAACATCTAGAATGTTATATTTAGTGCCCCATATACTTCTGTTTTATGTCCTTCCTTTACTGTAAACACAATTTTTGTTCGTCTGTACAAACTGGGAAAGGAGTCAAACTTTTTTTCTGTGGTAAAACATCCACTTTCGAGAGAGAAAAGAACCTGGAACATTTCTTTAGAAATGGAACAAACAATAGTGAAAACTTTGGACAAGTCCAGAATTCGATTAAAAAAGCATTTATTTTCTTTCTAAACATGTTCTACTATTCATTCATCTCCATAAAACAATGCTATTTAGGGACTTACACAACCCAGACAGCTAAACATCAGGACTCCTTCTTAACCCTGTATGGACTGCCATGTTAAATTTCATCAAAGAAAGGCACACAGCTTCTGAGGAACATCTTTATCCCACGGTTAAACTCTGTAGAAATGGATACTGCATCAATGGGACAGAGATTACGTCTAGCCTAAAACCCAGACTAAAACAGCAGTCTGAAAGGTTTTTCTGCATCTGTGAAACTAGCCAGTAAAGACTAAACCTCTTCTGAAATCAGCCGGAAACGAGGAAAGGAAGCAGCTCAGACATACAGACAAATGCAAAGATGAATAATTTGAATTTCATTGCTCAGCAGGCCGTTCTTGGTCCAGCCGTGTCCAGAAGTTCAGCAGGACTTTAAGAAAGGAGTCGCCACATATCAAGTGTAAGAAGGCGTCACGTCTGAACAGGAAGTGACATTTACAGCTATATAAAAGCAGACGTCTAAGTACCAGCGCACATCTAAACCTTTAGACAATCATTTCAGCAGGTAATATGTTAAGTGCAACCATATTTATGTGACCCAAAGTGCCTGAGCTGCTAGCTTGGAGTAAAATTGAAACGATTTCCATTTCCTTTAAATGTTCAGTAATCACTCAAGTTTCACTTCTGACCTAACAGACAGAGATACATACAAATACACACTCTGTGAATGAGTCTCTGTGTCTCTTTCGAGTGTTGAGTTTGGACAGCAGCTTGGCAGTGTCACGGGTCCTCCTGTATGAGACGGGCCTCACGAAAGGGTCCCAGAGACACAACGGTTTGGTCCTTTAAGGTCCCGTTCTCGTGCCGAGTTAGTTTGAAGTCTCTCAGCGAGGTTCAGTTTTATCCTTTAGGAGTTTTACTGGACTGTGAGTTCCACATGCCTCTTTTAGAGTGATAGTAGTGAAAGAAGTTCCTCAGTCTTAAACGCTCAACCTCCAGACCGTTTTGCAAAACTATG